GGATTTAGCTCAGTGGTGCCGCCACCTGCCTTGCAAGTACAAGGTCCTGAGTTTGATCCCTGGTACAAAAAAAAAAAAAAAAAAAAAAAAAAAAAAAAAAAAAATTTTTGAGAACATTTAAGTTTTCAAGAAATAACTCTGTGTCATATGATTTAAGAAGTGGTGGTGCTCACTGGTAATCCCAGCATTTGGGAGGCTGAGGCAGGAGGATAAGCACCTTGAGTTTTAGGCCAGCCTTAGCTAGTGAGTTCAAGATCAGCTTGAATTACAGCGTGAGACCCTGTCTCAGAAAACAAAACAGAAGTGGTAGTGATCCTTAATGTTGTCACTGCATTGGAATTATCCCTCAGATATCATTAACAAATGATTACATTTTATATCCAATGATTTAAGGAATGACTTTTATAGGAGGTATAGTTTTATAAAAAATATAATTCTGCATTTATAACATTCTGCCTTACAAAAAAATAAGATGTATTAATCTTGAAATACATCAGTCTTTTTTCCAAAGTCTGATTATAGCAAGGGAAACTGGAGCTTCACAGGTATATCCAACCTGCAGCCCAGAAGCTACCTGCCCTGTTTTATTTTAGTGTTATAACAACAAATTTTAAAAAGGAAGTCCTGTAACTTGTGTATGTTAACCATATTACACATTTAAATGTGGCCCAAGTCAATTCCTTTTCACTCTGAAGTTCCAGCAAGTCAGAAGATTGGATACCTGTGGTAGAATTGACGTGAATTTCTCGAGTTTGCAGAGCTACTGTTTGGTGAAACGTGGTCTTTAGGACTTCTTATAATCCCTCCAGTTTGCTCCCTGTTTTTCCCCATCTCTTTCCTACACACACACACACACACACACACACACACACAGTCGCAGGTTCTAAACTTATTTGTATTATTTTATTAAGATTATAAAGCATTATAAAGGGAAATGCTGAGAAATTTTTTCACTGAAGTTTAAAGTTTACATATATTGACAAGTGGTAGAGCTGTATCTCAGTGCTTAGCACGCATGAAGTCCTGGGTTCAGTGATTGCTGTTGCATATAAATAAGTGAACACAAAAGCGGCTAGCATTATGTGTATTAAATTCTGCTTTCTCAGAACTACTAAATATTTAAGAACAGTGGTAATCTTTGCATTTTCAACCAAGAAAACAGGCCCTCTGGGGGAAAAAAAATTTGTTCAGTATTAATTGACTCTCTTTTAAATTATGATTCTGAAAAAGCCAAGCTACCCTAAATGATTATGTTTAATTTGAAAAACCTGTGATGAAATATTTTTATTTCACGAATACAGGTTTTGATTATGGATTTATATATATAGTTTGTTGGCACCAATAAGTTTATTATTGTATTTATAAATCTATAGTTTTGTTTTTTAACTAAAGTAGCATTTGACCAGTGATGAATTTTCATTTGGTGGAAGAGCCAGAAGATGAATAATAGTCCAGGGAAACATATAGGGAAAAAATTAATATTTTAAATACACAATATGATGAGTATAGAGTTTATCAAAAGGGACTTATAGGTAACAGTGCCAAAATGTAGGACACATTAGATTTCAGGTCTTGCAAGTTCATTTTATACCTTATGAGCTGAAGTAAATGTAAAGAAAACAAAACTAATCTTTAAGATCCTGTGATCCTTTGGGCAAAAGTAATTGGGAAGGAGACTAAAAACATAATTTCAGGATACTTTTTGGTTTGACTTTTAGATTTAATAAGGCCCTTGGAAATGCTTGGAAAGGAATCAGTGATTAACTGAATATGTTATAATAATAGTAGTATAATAATAGTATAGGGATAATAACTGGCTTACAGTTGCTGTGGGCCATTTACTGTTGGATTACTTTTGCATTTGTTTTATCCAATCTTCAGTAAACATATATCTATATCTCTCTCTATATATATAGTTTGTTTTGGTGATTCAGTCACTGAAAACCATAGAATTGGTTTGAATGGAAAAAGTTAATCAGTAGTATAGTGTTGGGGGGGTGTATATGTACAAAAGATGTAACTATACATGATCTATAAATAACATCAGCTGAGGGCTATGGTGTTTGGCTTTTCTCCTAGAGAGAAATAGGAATGGAAGAGAAGAGACATTTTAAAACATTTGGGATAATTGATTTAAAAAATTAGTTGTTAAATCTGAGTGGTGGATACATGAGTACTTGTTTTCTTTTGTCCTTTTTTTTTTTTTTGTATAAGCCAAAGTTTCTTTTTGGGGGGTTGGTTACCAGGGATCAAACTCGCGCCCTTGTGCTTACAAGGAAGGCACCAGAACCACTGAGCTAAAAAAAATTTCTTGATTAAATTATATTTTCAAAGAATAGTAAAGTGTTACCTAATATTTGAGACCTTAGCACTGTATGTACTGGGCACAATTTTAATGCTTTTTGGCATCTTTACAAACCTGTAAGGCAGATTCTGTTATCACTAACCTGCAGATGAAATTCAGGACAGAGACAGTAACACTGATAGTGTGAAATGAGATTCAACTGTAAGAAATCTGACTTCACTGTTGTGCTTTAAGTACCACATTATTTTGATACACTGCCTCATTATAATAAAAATATTTTTATCACTCAAATATTTTTACCCAAGTATATTCCAAGGTCTTTATTGCATATTGTTCAGATTTTTTTAGTCACTCCTCTTATCAGGTTACTGATGTATTTCTTTCCCTTTTACAGATAATGGCATCAGCTGCTAAAGAATTTAAAATGGACAACTTTTCACCTAAAGCTGGCACTAGCAAATTGCAACAGACAGTACCAGCTGATGCATCTCCTGATTCTAAGTGTCCTATATGCTTGGATAGATTTGATAATGTGTCTTACTTAGATCGCTGCTTACATAAATTCTGTTTTCGCTGTGTACAGGAGTGGTCAAAAAACAAAGCTGAATGTCCACTATGTAAACAGCCTTTTGATTCTATTTTCCATTCTGTGAGGGCAGAAGATGACTTCAAGGAGTATGTCTTAAGGCCTTCATATAATGGTTCTTTTGCCACCCCAGATGGTCGACGATTTCGCTACCGTACAACTATGACAAGGGAACGAAGTGCTTCTGTGTATTCACCTAGTAGTACTATGAGTAGAAGAACAACTACTCCTCCAGATAGTGGAGTACTATTTGAGGGGTTAGATATTTCAACAAGACATAGAGATGTGGAAATTCCTCAACTTATGAGACAAATTGCAATAAGGCGGCAGCATACTTCAGATGAGAGATCTTTGCGGAAAATTCAAGAGCAAGATATTATTAATTTTAGACGAACTCTCTATCGTGCTGGTGCTCGAGTTAGAAATATTGAAGATGGTGGCCGCTACAGAGATATTTCAGCTGAATTTTTCCGTAGAAATCCAGCTTGCCTACACAGATTAGTCCCTTGGTTAAAACGTGAACTTACAGTTCTTTTTGGAGCTCATGCATCATTAGTCAATATTGTCCAGCATATCATCATGAGTAATGTTACTCGCTATGACTTGGAGAGTCAAGCATTTGTGTCTGATTTAAGACCATTTTTACTTAATCGAACTGAGCATTTTATACATGAATTTATCAGTTTTGCTCGATCTCCTTTTAACATGGCAGCTTTTGACCAGCATGCTAATTATGATTGCCCTGCTCCTTCATATGAAGAAGGCAGCCATTCTGATTCTTCAGTAATAACAATATCTCCAGATGAGACTGAGACCCAGGAGCTGGATATTAATGTAGCCACTGTTGGTCAGGCACCATGGGATGATGAAACTCCAGGACCATCTTACTCAAGCTCAGAGCAGGTACATGTTACCATGTCTTCCCTTTTAAATACTTCTGACAGTTCAGATGAAGAACTTGTCACAGGAGGAGCACCACCTCAAATACAAGGAGTACAAACCAATGAGGGCCTAAATAATGACAGCGATTCTTCAGATAATTGTGTCATTGTTGGGTTTGTTAAACCACTAGCTGAGAGGACTCCAGAACTTGTTGAACTATCCTCTGATTCTGAAGAGTTAGGCTCTTATGAGAAAATGGAGACAATAAAGACTCAAGAACAAGAGCAATCTTACAGTTCTGGTGACAGTGATGTTAGTAGATGTTCATCTCCACACTCTGTCCTTGGAAAGGATGAGCAGATGAATAAAGGTCATTGTGATTCTGGTACAAGAATGAAGTCAAAGAGAGAAGAGAAACGATCTACATCATTGTCAGCTCCCAGAGACCTGAGCTCATCTATGAGAGGAGACAGAGTATATTCCCCATATAACCATAGACACAGAAAGAGAGGAAGATCTAGAAGTTCAGATTCATGTTCCCAAAGTAGAAGTGGGCACGATCAGAGGAATCACCGAAAGCATCATGGAAAGAAAAGAATGAAGAGCAGACGGTCCAGAAGCAGGGAGAGCAGCAGACCTAAAGGGAGAAGAGACAAAAACAGATCAAGAACTAGAGATAGCAGTTGGTCACGAAGAAGCCAAACTCTTTCTCTAAGTAGTGAAAGCTCAAGCAGATCAAGGTCTCGGAGCAGTGATCACGGCAAAAGAAGATCACAGAGCAGAAATACAGATCGTTATTACTTAAGGAATAATTATGGAAGCAGATATAAGTGGGAGTATACCTATTATAGTAGAAACAAAGACAGGGATGGCTATGAATCTTCTTACAGAAGGAGGACTCTGTCCAGAGCCCATTATTCTAGACAATCTTCAAGTCCTGAATTTAGAGTTCAGTCCTTTTCTGAAAGAACAAATGCTAGGAAAAAGAATAATCACAGTGAAAGGAAATATTATTATTATGAAAAGCACAGATCGAGAAGCCTGTCTAGTAATAGGTCAAGGACAGCATCTACAGGACCTGATAGGGTGAGAAATGAAAAGCCTGGGGGGAAGCGAAAATATAAAACACGACATTTGGAAGGTTCTAATGAAGTGGCTCAACCATCTCGTGAATTTGCTTCTAAAGTTAAGGACAATCATTACCAAAAATCATCAAAATTCGATGGAAGCTACAAAAATGAAAGTGATAGCCTTTCAGACAGCCGATTATCAGACAGAGACACAAAACACAAAAGAAGAAAAAGGACTCGGAGCCTAAGTGTAGAAATAGTTTATGAAGGAAAAGCTACTGATACAACTAAACATCATAAAAAGAAAAAGAAAAAACACAAGAAGAAGCATAAGAAGCACCATGGAGATAATATCCGTTCCCCAGTTGTTATTACCATTGATAGTGATAGTGATAAGGATTCTGAGGTAAAGGCAGACATGGAGTGTGCCAATAGTGGTACTCAAGACTCCCTACGAAATGAATTTCTGGCTCCTTCCTTAGAACCACTTGAAACTAAAGATATAGTTACAATTGAAGATGAATTTGGTATACTGGACAAGGAGTGTGATATTACCACACTTACTAATGACTTGAATAATGCCAACAAAACTGTAGATAATAATCCACACCAGGCAGCTTCAACTGAACAAACTCTTGATGTAAGAGAAGAGTGCACCTTTGCCTCTGTTTTGGAGAACCAGTCCAGTAATGTATCTATTCAAACTGAGCCATCAAACCACTTGCCATCTCCACGGACATCATTATTATCAGTGTCTCTTGGTAGAGACTTTGATATGTCTTAAAACTGCCAAAGCATCTCATAGGAATTCAGATGGTATAAGAAAGAATAAATTGTCACCTAGTACAGTATATTTAAAGATGACTTTTGTTGAAAGCTTTTCCCCCTTAAGATATTGTGATTTTTTTGTTCTAATTTGTAAAAATCATTATTTGTTCAAAGCATATGTATGTTCTGCCCTCAGAAATATGCACTTTTGAGTGAAGAAAATGATATTGCTAGCAGTTTATTTAAAAGTTCGGATCTTTTTAAAATAAAAAATATAAATTTTAGAAGTTATTTCATAAAGCCATATGTATTGACATTTTTAAGGTAGTATTTTTGAATTTTTTTTTTTTGAGAGTTACTCTTAAAATGTGTTATAAGAAGAATCCCTTTGAACTGACTTTATTTTTCTTCTAAAAAATTTGTATGACAGAACCATTTCTTCAGGCTAAATCAAGGCATTTTTAACCTGCACAGTTTATCTTCAGCCAAATGAAAAATTTAGTATTTCCTTTATATACTTGTTTATCTGGACTGCCAGTAAGGCAAATGTGTATTCAGCCACATAAAAATAAAATAATAATACCTTAAAAGAATTTAGAAAATTTCCTATGCAATTTTTTAAAAAATATTTTGCTATAGCTAAAATCTTGAAAATAATGCTTATTTCAGTATTTAAGTCTGATTTTGAGGAATATCTGACTTGCTTTCTATCTTCATCACGATGCAGTTTTGGAGCATTTAGCTTACTAAAAACAAAAAGCTCTTGCCAGACTTTATATTGGTAGTTCTTTTACACGAAATGGTTGTGTTTATTTTTATCTTGTTGTAGAGCAGATAAAATTACATCTAGCCTGATACAGGATTGCCAGTGAACAGTAGAGCACTGAATTAAATCTAAAGTTAGACGTTAATTTTCTTTGCTGAAGAAAATTCATATTCATTCTTCATTGAAAATTGGAATGCCTGCTATGTGGCAGATCTGTATTAGGTTTTTAAGAGTATATAATGGAGGACCAGGGATTTAGCTCAGTGGTACTACTGTACCTGCCTCACAAGCGCAAGGTTCAGAGTTTGATTCCCAGTACCAAGAAAACAGTATATAATGGAAATCACAAACTACTGGGTTCTGAAGAAAGTATAATTTTCTTAAAAGGAAATTTTCTTATAGTGGAGAACTAATCTGAGAAGTGATGGTTGAGTTAGAATCCAGAGAACAAGTTGATATTAAAATAGTAATTGTGACCCAAAGGGGCAGAAACATATTTCTAGCATATTTCAAGAACTGAAAAAAAGATTAGCCAAAGGGTGGAGTATAGGAACAAGATTTGTAGGCCATGTTGAGACTTTATCTTAATGACAGTAGGAAACTGGTTTAAAATGACAATTTAAAACTGCTGCTGGCTGGTACTTGGGATGCTGAGGCAGGAGAATCACCAGGAGTTTGAGACTTGCCTTGGCTACAAAGGCCAACCTGAACTATATAGCAAGATGTGTCAAAAACAACTGCTGTTGGGAATTTTTAGTAAGCTCAAACATTAATAGTGGCAGGATTATAGTTTGAAAATTATAAAATTATTTTGTATTTACATGTTCAAGCCCAGAATATCCAACTCTGATTCCTTCCTGTCAGTCCAGATGTCCACCAAATCTTTCTTTTTGTGGGGGGGTGTCCTTACCATCCTGTCAGAGCAGCTTTCTCATCTGTACCTCCTTAATGGATTGGCCTTCATCGAATGTTCCATACTTCTTTCTCCTGTCTTTTCTTGAGGCACCATTCAAAAATTCTTCAAAAAACAATTTTTGTTTCCATTTTGTCTCCCTACTTAAAATCCTTCAGAAGCTTCCTATTATTACTGGGATTTTAAAAGCAGACCAAAAAATCCAACATGAATAATGGTTTAGAAATCCCTGCCCAATAAGACTTCGGTCCATGTTAAGTGTTCTCGCACCATACTCAGGCCACAAATAACCTGCTTCATATGACTGGAGATGCTGCTGCTTATTATGTAAGAGCCTTCACATGTGGCATTTTTGTTCTGGAAATTGAACATCCTAGTTAAACTGTTAAAAGTGTTCTTTCTCCTGTTATTTCCCATTAATTTGCTTTTGAACCATCCCAGGCTTGAGTGAGCTCATTAGAGTTGGTAATGAAAAAATGCATTCTCTTCTACCACTCTGAAAGTCTAATGACAAACTATTACTATAGCCTTTTACTGTCACATCATTAAAACCATGTGTGAATGAGTACTGAAGATTTTTAAATTGGCTCTACTATAAACTCTTAGTCTAATAATTTATTCTTTCAACTCTGAATTCAGTTCCATGATTTTATTTCAGGTGTTCAGTGTGTGTGTGACTTGTGATTTGTTTTTAATTTTGCAGCCAAAGCCTTTCATGTGTGCACATAAGTGATCCCAGGTTTATAGCATGAAGACTTGTTACTATGTTACTTCCTAGTATAAGTTGATTCTCAAATTTCTGGGTTAGCTAGCCCAAGGGCTTTATTAGTCCATCTAATTTGTAGTAATAATGAGCAGTGTGTACAAAGGTGTGGGAACTCAGGCAAGTTGACAGTCCTTGTTGGGAATTCATTCAAACATAATTGCAGGAATTCATTCAAATATAATTACAGTAGTGCATCTCTGGACTTGGAAAACTTCTGAAAGCATTTTGGGTTTCTAGAACACAAGTTTGATTTGGTATGGAATGTTCCCAGCACAAATCTTTCCTATGAGCAAGGCCAGGGAGTGAGAAGCAGAGGGAAAGGAATTAACTTCACATTATGGGTTATCAGCATTGACAATATGGATCTATTTCTAATTTTAAGCTCATATCTAGATACAATTAAATGTTAACTGATTGAAGTTCCCATGATAATATAGATACTGTGAGGCCAAGCATGCACCTTTAGGATACATTCATGGGAAGCCAAATCATAAAGCTTTCTTTGAGCATGGAAGAAAAACGAGTAGTAGTGCTAACATCTTCACTCCACAGGGACAGCCTTATAAATGGGACCAGAGTATTTGGTTTAGTGACTGGCTCTTCTAAAGAAAGTGGCTTTTTCAGTTACTTATTTTGCTCTTGTGATTTTTGCTTTCTTTTTGCTGACTGTAGATTCTCATTCTGGTACTGCAAGCAACCTTACAGACCTGCACAATTACTTTTATTATTTTTGGACTTTAATTTGTTCACAAATTATTTTACATTTACAAAATTTTTTTTACCTTTTTTTTTTTTTTTTTTTTTTTTTTTTTTTTTTTTTTTT